GTGGTTTTAAAAAAAAACAACATATGGTTCAGAATGGATTAACCGTATTTACATTGAACCTTATGGGAAAATTTGATTCGGGTCGTGACCAATTCGGTTCGTGACCAGAGTCGCGGAATGATTTAAGTTCGTGAACTGAGGTACCACTGTATTTATGTATTATTTATTCATTTACATTACTTGTATGCTACCCATTCCCATAGGCTTTAGGTGGCTAACAATGTAAACATCTAAAATATCCCAGAAAATCCTAAGTACATACAAGCATAAAAATAAAAAATAAGCGACCCCACCTTCCAGTTAAAGAGTACTTGTGTAAGACAGAACAGATAGGTCTTCAGAACTTTCCTGAGGCCTAGGAAGGTTGAGGCTGATTTAATTCCCATTGTGAGGTAGTTCCAAAGAGTGGGGCCATCCACTAAGAACATGCATCAGGTGACAGTCCCATAAAGATGGGACTTGGAGGGAGTTGACTCTATTTGAACTGTTTGGACAGGTAGATGAATACAGGAGAAGATGGTTCCTCAGATATTCAGGTCTGGAGCCGTATAGGGACAACCAGAACCTTGAATTTCACCTGGAAGCCAATTGGAAATAAATGCAACTCTCAGAGCAGTGGGGTCTCCTGAGTATATTGAGATACACCCATCACTGCCTAGGTCACTGCATTCTGCACCAGTTATAGCTTACAGATGTTCTTCAAGGGTAGTCCCATGTATAGCACATTAAAGTAGTTGAAATAGGAGGTGACTAGGGCATGAATGACTGAGCAGGGTATCTCAGTCCAGGAAAGGTCACAATTAGCACATAAAGGGTAGCTGCTCAAAAGCCTTTCTAGCCATAGATGCCACCTGTTCCTCAAGGAGGAGCTGTGAGTCTAAAAACTCCCAAATGGAGCAGGGGTGCACAACTCTGTTCAAAGTGAAAGAAGGAGCATCCTTGGAATAATTCAGGGCACAAACCAAAAGCCACTCCATCTTGGAGGGATTTAATTAAAATCTGTTCCTACCCATCCATACATGACAGCCTCTAGGCAATGAATCAGCACGTCCACTATCTGTATGGTCTGGGCATGAGAAGTACAAATGGGTATCATCAACATATTGATGATACCAAACCTCATGTTGGCAGATGATCTCAACTAGTGGCTTCATATAGATATTTAAAAGGATTGGAAAGAGGAGATCTGTCTCCATAGAGTTGAGGTATCCAATTGGATTTCTCTTCTCTAACCACCACTGATTGCAGTTGAACTATCAGGAAGAAGAACCATTGCAAAATGGTGTGGTCCCTCCCGCCCCACCCCCCCCCC